CACCTAATCATTCTCATCTCGGCAACACTTAACTTATTATTATGCTTCTCTTTTAAAGGCCAACATTCAGTGCTATAGAGCATTGCAGGTCTCACCACCATCTTATAAAATTTTCCTTTCAGTCTTAGCGGTACTTTTCTATCACACAAAAGGCCCGAAGCATTCCTCCACTTCAACCTACCAACTTGAATTCTACTATTAACATCCCCATCTATATCACCATCGCTTTGGACAACGGAAGATATCTAAATAAATCGTTCACACCTTTTAATAATTTGATCACCCAAAGTCACACTTCTGTCACTAGAGTTATTACTACTAAAATTACATTCCATGTATTCAGTTTTAGTTCTACTTAAACGAAGGCCTTTAGACTCCAATGTAGACCTCCATAATTCAAGTTTTTCCTGGGCTTTTTCTCTCGTTTTATCCACGAGAAGAATATCATCAGCAAAAAGCATACACCAAGGTACATCCTCTTGTAGATGTCCAGTAAGACCATCCATAACTAAAGCAAAAAGATATGGGCTTAAAGTCGATCCCTGATGTAAACCAACAGAAATAGGAAAATATTTTGTCAATCCTCCTTCAGTTTGAACACAAGTAACAGCTCTAGTATACATATCTTTAATGACTTGAATATAAGTCATATCAACACATTTCTTCTCGAGAACTCTCCAAAGGATATCTCTTCGAACCTTATCGTAAGCTTTTATAAGATAAAAGTCAGAATTGAGATAAATTTTATATCCCATTTTTCACATCTCACAAAAATAATCATACAAATTTTTTTCTAAAATACTACATTTTGTAAAATCAATTTTAAAATGTATATGTGTGTGTGTGCATGTGCCCAGGCATATAAATAAAATTATCAATATATTAGCTTTTATAATTATTTTAATTTTAAAATTAAATGACCTAAATTTTAATTCAATGTTATTGTAGATGAACTTTGCACTATTCAACTGAAAGCCAATCCCAATAAAACATGCACATATGCAGTGACTAATTTAGAAAATTGCAACATTCTATGTATGTATGTATATGCATATCCATGTATATATAGAACACGAAATGCCGCTCACGCTCTGCAAGGGATTCGCCATGGCGATCCCTGGTTACTACTCCACGGCATCTCTCGCGATCAAGCTCTGCTCGTCGTTCATCGATTTTGCCATTTTTGTCTGATTCGTTATTGTCGCCACTGTCGACGTGCATCTTCTATTGCTCGTGCGTCGTCTGATGCTCGTGCTTTGTCGCTCGTGCGTCGGGCTCAGTCGTCGAGCTCGGTTACTGGTGGTCGCGCCTTCCAGCTAGGATTCTACACACCGCGTTTTTCCTTCGCAATCTGAAACGCCCTCTGTTTCGAGCAGGTCGTCGTCCTCGGGCACGAGCTGAAATCCTTGGGGCTTCGGGTTTCCGGTCCTGCTCCCTGTTCTGGATTCGGAGTTTGCTCTTTGCTTTGCTTTATTCGCTGTTCTTAACGCCGCACCTCCATCTATTAAGGAAGGCTTCAGACAAATCGTATGATGTTGCCCTTGCGGGTGTCCATGCCTCATGTACACATAAATCGTGTTATTTCCCTCCTTCGTTTGAGTGGACGGAGGACATCAAAAAATATGGTATGAAGAATGGGAAGTCTGTCATCTTTTTTACTGAAGCTGAAAATATTCAACTTGCTCCCTCCTGTTGACTAAATTTGGTTGGGAAATTTCTATATGACCATCCCAAAATGGAGCTCATTCGTAAGAAATTTGAGTTTATACACCTTGTTAAGAAGTGAAAAATTAGATTGTTAGATGGAAGACACATTTTTATACAACTAAATAACGAAGAGGATTACACGTGCTTATTTGCTAGAAAGATAATCTGGATTGATAATAGACCGATGAAGATTCTGAAATGGTCTGTGGATTTTGACCTACTGACGGAACCACCAATCATTCCGATTAGGATTCGCCTCTCTGGTTTGAAATTTCATTATTTTACTCAAAAAGTGTTGTACTTTATTGCCTCAGCTTATGCTAAGCCACTCAAAACGGGCATTCCTACTTTTAATTTTTCTCGTGCATCTGAAGCTAGAGTACTTGTTGAAAGATACATCACTTCATCCGCTTTTGAGGAAATTTGATTGGGCATACAGCACCAAGGATATTGGCAAGAGGTAGTGATTAAGCATTTTTCTTTATATTGCTCGAACTGTCGTATGTTTGGTCACTCTAATTCTCAATGCCACCATCTACACCCCCACCTCAGATCAAAAAAACACAGTGCTCCGCCAGAGGCAGTGATTTCATCCCCTCCTGATCAGCTCCAAGTTATTGACATTATTGACACTATTGATCATCATCATCCCCTCCTGATCAGCTCCAAGTTATTGACACTATTGATCATCAAAAGGATACCCCTAAAGACGTCACTATTCTCGCAGACAATATGACAACTATTCAGTCCCCACACAATGTTGTAGCTCCCCCGTCTTTGGAAACTCCTATCGTGGGGGCGAGGGAGATTCTTCAGACCCCACCTACCCTAGAACCTATTATCAAGTCGAACAAGCTGTTAATGTTATATTAGATCAGAATTAAGATAAATTTTATTCATGAAATGATCTCATATTTATAGAAAAAAGGGATACCATGTGTGAATTTACATATGTGCCCTTATTGTAATGGGGATTCTATAGATTATTATCGGTAGTTTACTTATGTGTGCAGAGCCTGATGTCTCTAAGGCTCAGCTGGCTAGACTGGCGAGCCCTTGGATAGGCATTGCGGATCGGCTAAGCTAGAGAAGACCGCCGGTCAGCCTGATCTAGTAAGACTGCCGATCAGCTAGGTTTGATATTGTCAGTTGGCTGAATTCTTACTTTTGAAAGGTCAGCAAAATTAACTCGGTTGGCTAAATGAAACTTATTGGCTCATCAAGTCTAGCCACCGACCCTCAATACCTGCCAAGGAGATCCTTTCGGTTGGGCGGAGCTAGGCTATCGGACAAAGGGTGAATCACCATAATCCGATAGTCAGCCGCCCTTGGAAGAAGAGATCTTGGGGGATAGTTGAGATTCGTCTCACTAACTTTTAACGATGTTCAAGAGGCTTTTAAATACCTCTGAGGAGGAAATTGTAACATCAGAGGGGCTAGATTTTCCCATTGTGTTGATTTCATCACAAGAATGTCCTGGATTCCCCTGCACTTGGCATCCGGTCGAACTGCTTAGATTCGGGCCGCTTGGTTGCCTAGGTTTATTTAATCTTGATGCTTTTGATCGGATGCATGGGCCTCCAAGTCTCCCACTGTTGGGC